CACAGGCGCCCGCCACAACGCCCGGCTATTTTTTGGTTGCAGCCGTCATTGTTGTTTTGGTGGGTCCGGGCTGGGGATTCGAACCCGCCACCTTAGGTGTACGTGGCTGGCGCCTTAGCCTGTTGAGCTATAGGTGCCGAGCCCCACTTTTCTACCTCATTCCCTCAATCCTGCCATGTGGGCTCTGCTGTAATTCTCATGAAGTCCAGAGCGACTGGGTCCCACCCAGGCCCATCATCGGGCTCAGTCTTCTGAGCTCTCAGGCTCACTGCAGCAGTTGACATGACCGTGATGCTTTCTTCTCAAAGGTTCCCGACTCTCTCACTTGTTTTTTTTTTCCCTCCTTCACAGACTTCTCCATCTCTCCATCTGTCCCTGTGCATGGAGTCCCATGCCATTTAATGCCTTTGATGTGCTGAAGACTTCCATATTTGTAATTCCATCCGCCTTCACCCCACGCCCACTGGGATGTCTACTAGGCATCCTCTCCAAATGTTTTTCATCACAGAAATGATACTATAACTCATTTGGACAAAACTCCCAAGAAGCATCCTTGATTCTTCACCGCCCCCTTCTTTGGGTCTACCTGTGGGTAAATCCTGAGTCTGCCCACTTCTCACCGGTCCCCCACATCTCTCGCGTGGATTGCTTCAAAAACCCACCTAATTCCTCTCCCTTCCTCCACTCTTTCCAAGCTACTGCTCATTCTTCATGCAATCTATCAAAACGTTAAGCAGATCAGAGCATTTGTTTGCTTAAAATCCCCTGCTGGCCTTCACTGCAACCAGAAAAAATCCGCATCCCTTATCATGGCCTACAGGACCACACATGATCCTGGCTTGTGACCACCTAGGTGCCCTAGCCACCTCCTTCACCCCGGCCTCCAGCCACAGGGCCTTCTTTGACCGAAGTGGCATTTGCTTTCCTTATGCCTGGAATCCTGCAGTTCCTGGCACATGGATAAGCCTAGAGGACATTCTGTTCAGTAAAATAAGCCAGGAACAGAAGGAGGAATACTGCCTGTTCTTACTCAGAAGTAGTGAGTACATGAGCGGTGAGTGGGGAAAGGCTGGTTCAAGTCCACAGAGTCACACTCGGACAGGCAGGAGCAAGGCCTAGCGTTGCACAGCACTGCAGGGAGACTGAAATTAGCAAAAACTTATCACGCATTCTCAGAAAGCTTGACGAGAGAATTTTGAACGTTCCCAGCACCAACCAATGACAAATGGTGGAGGGGGTGCCTGTGCTAAGTATCCTGGTTGGATCACTACACATGGTACGCATTGAAACATCACACCGTACCCCATAAATACGAGCCATTATTATGAGTCAATTTAAAAACTCTAAAAATATATATTAGAAGAACTAAAGTTCCGTGAGAGCGGGGACCTTCTTTGTCAAGGTCTAGGCTGTACCTTAAGTGCCAAAACACTGCCTGGGAGAGATGGACGGAGCCCTCGAGGGGAGCCTCCGCAAGGGTTCCCCAGACTC